ACAAGATGAATTACTTGTCTAAAATAAATGTGATCGGATAATACCTACCCATCATACTACGCTCTACCATGGATGAAATTCTACACTTATAACACGAACGACCGAAATGATGCACAGAAACTTCATTACAGTAATTGATGATTTAAATGATGGCGCACATTCTATTTTACGCTACTTTTCCAAACAAAACCCTATAACTCCCTAACCTAAATGACCCTGATTTCCCAGTGTGTACTTACTATGCTCATGACCATAAGTAAAGTAAGATGAATAAACAACAACTATGTGACAGTCTGGATTCTAAATTATCATTTCCCCGAACAATTACGGGATTCCATTAGTGTCGCTCTCTCGCATTTCATCTTTGTCGCCTTCTCTCTTACTAAAACGTATACATGATAGCTAATACTTCTATGCACTCGTGAGAGGGCGTGTTTTGCTTAACGTGTCAGATGAGTCTACATTTGTTTAACTTCAGCAGCCCCTTATTGATTTCTGTAGATCAATGAACAAACAAAGCTATCGTAACAGCATGGCTATGCAAGGTTTATAAATGAACATGTAATGTATATTTTACAGTTGTCGAACCAGTAATCATTTTGTCGTCAGACATTGCTTTCTCGTTTGATGCATTTCGACGTGATCTGGGGCCCAAAGTAAGATAGACACGAATCAATTCACTGTAATTGGTACAATCAATAAAAAATTGTCAGTCCAGTCACGTACTAATCGATAGTCCCCAAACAAGAATTGTCCCTTGTCAGGAACATTTTAGTGCGAGATAACGAAACAAGCAGTCGCGCCTCAAGTGATTATTTGATTTCATATCGGACGGCATTAAAAAAGGATGATAACACATCTTTTATTTATGAAGCGTTACACATTTCGACGTGTCTAATTACCCACCCCAACATTAAATACATACTACATTATCAAGTTTATCATAAAACAACAAAACCGGTCCATCATGGTGTCCACCTATTGCTGGTAAATATACTTCGGACTTAAAATCGATTTTTTGACGAAAAGCTCTTGGAATAGGAACAAATAGGGTTGAAATTTAAATGATAGCAATGTTGTTCCCTGAAGAGTTAAGGAATACTACTGATGTTCTTTTATCACGGTAATATGGACAGGACATCGTAATGCGCAAGATTTTATATCTTTCTCTTCCTTTCGTTTTCCTCTTGTCACTCAGGATGTCCTCATGTGATGTTTTCATGTTCGAACAGTCGAGAGAACAGTGACATTAAATTCAAATATAGTTTGTATGCGATTTTATTCAAATTTTAAGCAACTGTACCAGTTTCAAGACAAATAATTCTGATGTATTCTGTAATAAGCTAAATAATTAATCCTGTTTGAATTTTCTAATCCAAGTTTACGACATAGCCCTATCTCAAATTAAAATATCGAACGTAGAATGAAAACTCTGCTGCTTAATGTTACAATTACTGCACTTATGATAATTTGAACATGATGAGAGCGCATGAAAAAGTGCTATGACAGCGCTAAATTGGGGTGTCTTTGCCGCTATATATGTCATAAGAATATTGTGGGTATGATTAATGTTATTCGGCATGTATGCTGCTATCAATGGATGTTTTTGTGGATGAGTGATTTTAAATGTGTTATTATATAATCTGACAACTGGAGCATATTCAATAAAATATGAACCCATGTAACAGTAATCTTATTTGGATAACATATATATTGCAAATAATATTGATTTTTGTAAAGAAACTTAGTGGTTCAAACTATCCTGTCAGTATCCTGATATGATAAAAATCTACCAAGTTATATTTATAAATAATTAGTGATATATTTTGGAATTATTTTTTCAATGCAGAGGTATAATGTCATGATCATAATTATGTGATTCTAAATAAAAACCAGACTGATTAGTCAACAACCTTAACAGGATGTCAATGGGCCTAAATGGTCAATCTCAACAGAACATACACTGCAAAGAGACATAACTTTGTTAAGTTATTTCAAATCGACCCCATCATGTACTCATCCGGGATTTTAATGATTCAGGGCTGCATACAAAGTTTCATGAAAACTCCATCACATTTACTGAAATAATCGTGTTCGTTTAATTACATCAGTTATTGTGGACACAAGAAAGCGTCAACACGCGAAGGACGAACAGCGATCTCTATAGGTGACCATTACTTACATATACGCTTGTTTTGTGACTTAATAAAATCAAGATTCGAATATGCTAAGACAAAATAGCAACTATTAAATATATGCATGGAGACACAAAAAACAGCACAAGAAGAAGAATGTCATCCGCCTAAATCTTTAACAGTCAAAGTAAATAATATAACAACATTGGCACCGGGAATATTAAGTTTTCTTATAGTCCCTTCGAGTTAGTGTTAACGAAGTTCGTCTTTAATTAAAAGCTGTACGTAACTTACAATGTCTCTTCTGTTCAGATGAGTTCATTTTTATGACTCACATTGGGCGGCATAGCCGGATGTCTGTTTACTGTTATCAAAGAGTGTTTTATCGATTAGATAACCACTGAAAGCTAGAGATCAACAGGGTTCAAAAAATGTTTGAGAAATGGCTCACATATTCATTTTCTGTTGACAAATGCAAGGCAGCAGACAAGAGACATGTAACTGTATACCATAGTAATAAGTGCTGCTAGTCTAATGGAAATACAGTGCGGTAGATATTTGGTCTTGATATGACCGAGGTGACAGCATAAATATGTTTACGTATGTGATGTACGTTTGTAAAGACAATAAATATATACGTGTACTGCAAATGGACATGTCATGGACAGATATAAGTTCGTGACTATTTACAAGCTACAATTGAATAATAAGAATAATAAAAATGGCGTCAGTTGCTATCGTTTACTATCCGATTAAGCACTCAATGTCACGTTAAATTCAAATTCAAGCAGCAAAAATTTAAAAACTAGAACAGGGAGGAAAGTTGTTTTGGCTGGTATAATTATGATCTAAAATTGACACTCGCAGTTAAATACACTGCTTAAGAATATCAGTTTTTCATGTTTTCCACCGTTTATGGCAAATGTGTTTTGACTTTGGATATATCTGGAGAAATGCTACATAATTATCATCTGAAGAAATTAATTTCATTTCTCCATGTTTCCGAATAGATACCTATATTCTTATCGTTGCTCTTCATGTTTAGTATTCAACCCTTTTGAAAGGCCGACTTTTAGGGTCTAATTAAGCTCTAACCAAACCAAATCGATTTCTCCAGAAGATGGATTTCAAACATTGTACCTTATATCCGTTATCTGACGTGGCCAATCAATTTAACAAAAAAGCTTTCCTTATGGATGCTTCTGACCAAAGTTATACAAATACCTCCATTCCAACAAAAATACTACCCCATTTGATCCCTTGGGCCCAATCCTCTGGCCACAGGGCCGATGATACTGATAAAATTTCCCAAAAATATGTTCAGTGGTTTTCTGTCTACTAGCGATTTTTGAAGGATGTCATCAGCTCACAATGTCCTTCGATTAAGTGAGTTAAAATGCGATACTGTATGTAAAATTTGACTTCACCAAATTAAGTACGACTGAAGTAATATCTCTCAGTTTTTCATTACATTTTATGTAAACTCGGCATCACATGCCTGTGTAGAGGTTATTGAAGCACCATTTAGCAGCTACAATTCCAAGACTACATCTTGTGTGATCATGGACAGTGTGACCTTAAAATTGTCTTTTGAAGAATGGACATGTTAAACTGAAATCATGTATATTTTGATTGCAGTCTCAGGAAGTGTGAAAACAAGGTGTAAATGTAAGTTTCAGATTTGATCATTTCATGCAATCATTATAAGGGTTCCGATTTCGTTTGTTAATTAGTGTAGTAAATCATTATTCTGACGTTTTTCTTATGATGTAGTCAGATCATAGCCATATATAAATCATATACTTACATACGACCATCGCCGCGGACATAGAGGGTCCTAAAGGTTAACACATGGTGACCAAAACATCTATTACAGGACCATCAAACAAGCAGAAATGTTGATAATGATATTGTGGATAGATCACAAAAAAATGGACGACACTGACGTTCACACTATATTGCTCGCCCAAGGTGTAATGTATCCTTTTAGAATATTTAAGATGACATTTCTGTATTTGTTTTCAACAGCTATACGAATAGGTTACACGAATATCTAACAGGATCGGTAGGCTTAAACCTGACTTTCTTACATATACACCTATTTAAACTAACTAGATACACAATTAAATATTAACTATCTTGCCAGCTATTTTACAGTGGATTAAGGAAACATTTCATATACGTAATGTATTCCGATAGGTGGCTCCTTATCCACAGGTGAAGACGTTTGTTGTCAATCTCAACAGCTAGGGTCACATTGATGATAATTACAGTATCGCAATATTGCTCTCGTGTATTTGTATTGTCACGGACTTCTGATTATGTTGTGTGAATGATGTACGCGTATGCCTGCGTGAGCAACGGCACTCGAGGCCAGGATATTATTTTTTAAACATTGATTTTTGTTTTAGCACTCATGACTGACGTTATTTAAACGAAATATCAGCAGAATTCAAGTTTATGTGCCGGTTGACAAATCCGAGGTCCACGGTCATTAAAAATACACAAGGCAAGCAACTCAAGATTTTAAAAAATCGACCCCTCGCTTGGAAACTGGCTCAAAAAAGGTAGTTTATGATAATTTCCTTGTAAAACAATATGTATCCGTAGGTAGTGTGTATATTTACCTTTCATTTGGTGCATAACATAACAGGCAACGAGAAATTCACAATACTTACATGAGATTAACATCTCAATAACCGGAGATTTTTATCGTCCATGTAAATTTCTTTGACGGAAGTAACATGCCATTTCAAGGGCGGTCACTCCGATTTTTTGGGAGAGGAGTTCCGGATAGCACTATACCAGTGAACAGGTAAGATAGGTTCCGATGTCATTACGAAACAAAACAAACACGAGTTAACCATGTTGGATGAGGATCAGGCAAAAGTATTTGAAACGGTAAAAAACGGCCATAACGCTGTTATTACTGGACAAGCTGGATGTGGAACAACATTTTTAGTGAAATGTATAGCTGCCCAAAAGATGCCCAAAAAAAGTGTCGGTAGTGGGTTCAACGGGCATAGCGGCTACACACTATGGTGATCTGGGAGCGCAAACCTTACATAAGTGGGCAGATATTGAAGATGGTAGGCATTCCAATGAAGAGATAATTCATCCAGTTGATACTGATGAAAGATTTGAGCGTGCGAAAAACAATATTCAAACTGTGGACGTTTTGATAATTGATGAAGTGTCAATGATAAGCGCTAGGATCCTGGACCAAGTACAATTATTATGTAAGCATGTCAGACAATCAACTAAAATATTTGGTAATATACAGGTTGTTTTGGTTGGAGACTTTTACCAGCTACCCCCAGTTTCCAATGAACTTTACGGTGACCCTGGGAATTATTGTTTCAGATTGCCATGGTTTACAGACTTTTCCCCACATATATACAATCTGCATTTAATCCATAGGCAAGACGATACAAACCTTATCAAATGTATTAATGCGCTTGAGAAAGGAGAACTTGATGATGAAAGTCTTGCTTTTCTGAATTCTTTAGATACGCCACTAGAGAATGAGGATTCATCTTTACACTTGTTTGCAAGGAACTTGGATGTAGATTCGTTTAATTACTCTCAGTTAGAGAAGTTGAGTGGTGAACTGAAAATTTACAAGTCAACAGATGAAGGCTTTAATTATTACTTAGGTAAATTCCTAGCACCCAAAAATCTAGGACTGAAAGCCGGTTGTCCTGTCATGTTAGTGAAAAATCTCAGTGATTCCCTAGTTAATGGTCTCCGTGGGATTGTGAATAAACTCTACACGGACTCAGTGGATGTGAAATTTACATTTGGATCAAAAAGTGTTACTGTCAAGATTAAAAATGCTACATTTACCACTTATGGCCCTGTAAATAAAACTATCATAGCAAGAAGGGTTCAACTGCCACTTAAGGTGGCTTATTACAGTGTCATTGACCTCTAACATTGTGTTTGATGTGCCATTACAATATTTAAAAGTTTTTACAATGTCAATGATATTCTGAACACTGGTTCTGTTTTTTTCAAACGTGTTACGAACACCTATATCCTTTAAATCAACAAATTTACTAAACACACACACAGACCATGTGTTGCTATCATCAAAAACTATTTCAGCAATTACTCGGTTACCATTTATTATATGTACATTGAATACGCCCACTCGAATATGACCAGTATTTTCATCTATTATAAAACAGTCTTTACATGTCCTTACAATGCTGTTCAAATTTCCACCTGGTTCCTGGGTATTATGTTCATTTGTGGTCCATGATAATCCTGTGTACACAGTGTTTCTTTTGCCCCAGTCACTTTTTGACCTCACCAAATTAATGGTGACATTTGGAAAAAGTTTTTTCAAAATTTTCCCGGTCACAACAGCAGAAATGCTGCATTTTTTTCTCTGCTGAATGTCATTTAAGAAGACACTGCCATCCTCACTGGCTTGTAGATTTTTCATGAACCTGAATGTTTTTAATAAAAGAAAAATCTTGTTTGAAATAACTGACTTACTGAATTTACTTCAATTTTTGCAAAATTGCAGAACTGACTTACTGAATTTAATTCAATTTTTGCAAAATTGCAGACTAAACAATCACTTCAATACATTTTTCTTTATACTGAATAACCATTGCTAACTCACCTAGGCCGAAGGCTCTGGAAAAATGACCTTGACCCATATTCAAGGTCAGAGAGGTCAAATCTGTTAATTTTTAAAAACAACTTCTTTTGAAATACCCAAAGGTAGAAAATAATCATAATTTACCAGTATTATTTTCTGATCTGCTTAAAAATATTTGTGAAAACAAATTACCTTGTTTTTAGATCATGAACATATGCACCGATGAGCGATACAGGCCCTCTAGGCCTCTTGTTTTGTTTTAACTTATTGAATGCTTAAAATTTTATTTAACAGACTATGCTGACCAGTCAATATGCTGAGTTAGATGTCAGCACATTGATTTAATTTGAAAACTGACATTATTACAATAAAATGTTTGGATATATTTGTCCTTGTTATATTCAGATTTTTAACTCATCTGCCTGAAGGGCAAGTGAGCTTATGCTGTGGTGTGGTGTCCGCCATCTGTCCGTCCAAGTATGCTCAACTTTTTTTTAGACATATTCTTCTAAATAACCAGAAGGCATGGAGAACTGATATTTTACAGGAAGGTTCCTTAGATAAAGCCCTACACCGTTTGCAGCAAAAAAATACATTGACCTTTATTCAAGGTCACTTTGGTCCAATGTGTAAATTTTTTAAACGACTTATTCCGATTAACCAAAAGTCCAGGGATCATGATGTTTGTTAAAATGTTTCTTGGGTGAAGGGCAACAAAGTTTGAGAAAAGATATTACATGACATTATATTCAAGGTCATGGATAAACCCTTAAATAACATCTTCTGATAACCAAAAAGGCCTTGGGTCATGATATTTGGTCAGGAAGTCCATTGTATGGATGTTTGCCAAAGCATACAGTACATGTAGCAATACAAGCCCTTTGGGCCTCTTGGTTAATAAGTAATATGTATTTCTTTTCAAATATTCTCAATAACTTGACAAAAATCACTATGGAAAAAATCAATTAATTTCCAATTTCTAAGTTAATATATTTCCCGATATTTTTCATAAATTGCGCCCTTTTTTCATTATCTGCATGATTTTCTTATTTTTTTTTTTTTTTTTGAAAAAAAATTCTCATTACGCCAGCTTGATTGAAAGTTGATGCATTCTGTATAATCCCTTACCATGATATTGTATCCGAGTTGGCAAATGTGGACTTTCTTTGCCCAGCCATTATTTTTCTATCCCCGCAAATGTATTTGTAGAAATAAAAATATATATTTTGAAGTTACGTGCGTAATGACATCGGAACCTTTCTTACCTGTTCACTGGTATAGTGCTATCCGGAACTCCTCTCCCAAAAAATCGGAGTGACCGCCCTTGAAATGGCATGTTACTTCCGTCAAAGAAATTTACATGGACGATAAAAATCTCCGGTTATCGAGATGTTAATCTCATGTACGTTTTGTGAATTTCTCGTTGCCTGTAATGTTATGCACCAAATGAAAGGTAAATATACACACTACCTACGGATACATATTGTTTTACAAGGAAATTATCATAAACTACTTTTTTTGAGCCAGTTTCCAAGCGAGGGGTCGAGTTTTTTTAAAATCTTGAGTTGCTTGCCTTGTGTATTTGTAATGACCGTGGACCTCGGATTTGTCAACCGGCACATAAACTTGAATTCTGCTGATATTTCGTTTAAATAACGTCAGTCATGAGTGCTAAAACAAAAATCAATGTTTGAAAAATAATATCCTGGCCTCGAGTGCCTGTGTGCGTGAGTGAATGCTGATATTTATTGTAGTGTTCGTAATCGTGCCGCTGTCCAGGTAGGTGATCTATTTTTAGCCACGTCACCTGTACAACCGGTCCGAGTACCTGCGTGACGAGTCGTCCTTTGTGGGTCGAATGTGTGTGACGAGTAGACTTATATTGTGTTTTGTAATGTTTTGTAATGGGTTTTAGAGTGTGTAAGTCAAGTGGCCACTGGTATGAAAGTTGACTTCGTGAGTAGTGTTCCCTTGTGTTAGCAGACAGAGCTTGGACTCCCAATAGTGCATTGTGTTTACGACACTCTGTGTTTATTGGCTTTGCCTCCTCCCCATGAACTTATTTATCTGTTTGAACTTTATCTACATGTACTTATGATAATTCTAAACATGCAAAATACAACATGTTAATTATATCTATATCCACGTGTCCTAGTCGTATTTGAAGTTGAAGTGAACCGAGTTCCACTACGTGTGACCTAAATCTGAAGGTGACAATGCTGTAAAAAGGTTTTGTCGGTAATTCTGAACTGAAGTATACAGAAACTTCTTTAAAATTCCAATATTATTCTTTATTTGTTGGGTTCAGAGTGACGCAGCTCAACCTTGGAAACACTAGTATACCCCAAAATGGTGAGAAGTTCGATTGTCCAATCAAATTACGATTTACGATACCTTAGCCAATAAAAAGTTGTATCTCTGCTCAGGTATTAAAGGATAATTTACTGCGCATGACAAGCTTCACGTACATGTCATAATTTGATCTATGTAAAATCCGACGTAAGCGGAAAGACTAAAATAACGTTTGTGTAACAATAGCCTATTGAGACATCCAGTGGCGACAACAAGTAACTACATATAGGTGATTATCAGATCCTTTGATTTATACAAATTAACACTATTCGGAGCGCTGAACTAAATAGTTATAACACTTTTATAATTTTTGTGTAGAAAGAAATTTCTGACAGGACATCTTAATTGAGTTTTACCAGCCATATATTGTTCTGAAACTTGTAGTACACGTTAGCGAATAATTCTAACCTCAAATTATAAGATTAGGATATTTTCTTTCTTTTCCTTTTTTTTTTTTTTTTTTTGTCAAAACTAAATATTTTGGTAGCATAGAACAATTTAAAAAATATATCTCTAAATTATGGTCTCATTTAAACAAGTTTGATATAAAGTTTTTAATTTGAATAAATTTATTTACTTTATTTATCCAAATAACTTTAATAAAAGGTGTGATAACGCTATTTAGTAAACTCTAATAACCGTGGTCAAGGATGCATGACCGTGAACAGTTGTTATTCATATGACCTGCAGGTGATATAAAACAAAAGTACATATAATTGTTCGGCGAATTGATTCTTTGACCTGGTAATGACTAAATCATCTTATTTGTCTCGGAAAGAATGGCTTTTGAAAAATAAAACACAATTAGAAGAGAAAAATGCATGTACCAATAGCAATGAAACTACACCCAATTCTACAAATGCAATTAAACGTGTGAGGGTTACGAGGTGATAAAATACTTTAAGGGAAAGGAACACTATAAACAAGTTGTCGTGTAATATGTCCCTGTACACGAATTCATCACGATTATCAGTAAAGCACTTTGTTTTTTGTTTTAATGTCTTAGGATGAAGACCTCAGTTCCTGTCTATAGAAGAATATAAATTCATATTGCTGTTTTTAAATAGTCCTTATGATGGCAGGATCCATATAATGACACCGCAATGGGTAAATGAAGAAAAGAGCGTTTATTGTGGCAACAGCTACATGTATGATAAAAACGTCCCTACCGGTAGATGATAGATTCACATTATATTTGGTCGTTGACAATTTAACGCCATAAAGCCGAGAAATCTTATTTTGTTTTCTTCTAAAAATGTACAACCTCGCAATTGCCATGATAACAAAACAAAAGATGAATGCAGTTGTAGGATCTTACCACTTGAAACAATGTGCGATTTGCCCACGATATAAGCACATGTGTGTCCGATAGGAAAATTGAACGGAAATTGCTATCGTACATCTGTGCGCACTGTTTGTGATTTTATCACACAGGTATGGGGATGGTATTGGGGTTCATCCAAACTAAGAAATGGATGATGGATAATACGGAATAGGTTTTTCCCCCCTAAATATATGAGTGCAACTCTCAGTATATCTTATAATTAAGCCATATATTTATACGTATGAAACATGTAGATTTATCGGACAAATATAGAATAGTTATAAACACATGTAGTTCAGAGTGCCTTGTTTATAAATTGCCAAGCTCGACTAGTCTTAGGTTACAGATACTTCATACAATGTAAACATTAACTGGACGTCTCCTTTAGTCTCGAAAATGAAACATTAAAAAAAACAACACCGCAAGAAATGTAATTTCCTTTACTTTCCCGCTGTACTAATTTTTGTAACAAAACCTATATACTCGTATTAATGTTTATAAAGTTGTGTTTGTTACACGGGAAACATCGCTGGTTGTCGCATATAAACTCGGAAAAAGGAATTTGGTGCTACCCGGGACACACTAAATTAACACAGGGTCTGGATGTATTTTGGTGAATGCCAAAATAAAAATGACATTCATATTA